GAAACAAGTGAAACAAGTGAATTTATTTCTGCAAATAGGCTACAAGGCAGCACTTTTACACGTCAATTTTATCAAGCGAACGATGAGGTCGACATTTCCTAACTGACTACTCTGAGAAGAAATGCCGAAACAAACTCAGAGGTCTGTCTCTTTTAAAGTCCAGACAATATGTATAACAGATTATGTGTGAGAACCGTGCCAGTTCTTTCTGTAGTGGGCTTTTGAGGAAAGAACCACAACAGTTTGAGCGGACCCGTTCTGAAGGCAGTACGCATGTGTCGGTTTACAGTCAGCTCAATTAACAGGTGAGGCTGACTGATTCGACGAACAATACCAACCTAAAGAACATTTGCGTGGGTCGCACAAATACTCAAACTGTCAGAAAAAGGGTAATTAGAAAAGAAATGGTGAGGCAAAGTCTCGCACGGTCCTAGCACTAACAATTGTTAAATAAAAAGTAAATGTCAAGTTAGAACAACATATGAAAAACAATGTCACATTAAAACAATAATGTCAAATTGCATATAAAAAAAGAAATGTAACTATATGTTACAAACATGTCAACATGACCTGTGTGGACGTTACAGCAGCTTATTCCCAAGCCAGACTATCATCTAGGTAGTCTTTTATTTTATAATAAGCTTTACTATAAAATTTATCTTTAATGACATTTTTAAATTTATTTAGACTCAAATTTTGGATATGGCTGGGAATCTTATTGTAAAAGCGTATACTCTGACATCTAAACGAACCACTTATTTTCTTTAGTCTAGTAGTGGGAACAACATATTTGTCTTTATTTCTCGTGTTTATATTATGTATATCACTATGTTTTTTAAATAAACTTTTGTTTTTATGAGCATATACTAAATTTTCATAAATGTATTGAGAAGCAACCGTCATTATATTAATTTCTTTAAATAGTTCCCTGAGAGAGTACCTCGGACTAAGATTATAAATTGATCGAATGGCCCTCTTCTGCAGAACAAAGATAGATTGAATGTCAGCAGCATTCCCCCATAAGAGAATACCATATGACATAACACTATGAAAATAACTAAAGTATACTAATCGCGCTGTATCTACATCGGTTAGATTTCTAATTTTTTTAACGGCATATGCTGCAGAACTGAGCCTTTTCGATAACTTATTTATATGTGGAGCCCACTGGAGCTTAGCGTCTAGGGTTATACCTAAAAAGACAGTAGAATCTACAGGGCTCAACTCCTCACCCTTAATGAGCACGCTGGTTTTCACATGTCCAACATTTGGTGTTGTAAATTTAATGCATTTAGTTTTAGTTCCATTTAGTAATAGGTTGTTGGCATTGAACCAGCGTACTATCTCCGAGAGAGCACTGTTCACATTATTAATAACTAATTGTCTACGTTTAAGTTTAAATAATAACGAAGTATCATCCGCAAACAGTACTATCCCGTGGTTATCCCTTACAAGGTAAGGTAAGTCATTTATATATATAAGAAACAAAAATGGGCCGAGAATTGACCCCTGCGGAACCCCCATCCTGACAACAGACCCGGTGGAGACTTTTCCGTTTATTTCGACTCTCTGAATCCTGTTACTCAAGTATGAGGTAAGAAGATCCAGAGATTTACCTCTTATTCCATAATGGGATAGCTTCCTGATCAATGTATCATGAAGGACACAATCGAACGCCTTGGATAAGTCACAAAAAATGCCCAAAGCGTCGCTTGAGTCCTCCCACGCGTCATATATGTGATTAAGAAGTTCAACACCGGCATCAGTTGTTGAACGACCCCTGGTAAAACCAAACTGGTTACTATGTAACAATTTATTTCTATTAAAAAATCTTTGCATTTGATTTAGAATAATTTTTTCAAAAATTTTACTAAATGTAGGTAGTACTGAAATAGGTCTAAAGTTAGTGGGGTCAGAAGTACTACCTGATTTAAATAACGGAGTTATTTTACTATTTTTCATAAGATCAGGAAACACACCGCGGTCGATACAATTATTAAAAATTAGAGCTAATAGAGGTGCTATAATAGCTATAACAGAGCTGGCAATGTACACAGAATTTCCCCACAAATCTGCAGTCTTTTTCTTATTTAAGGTATGGAAGGTTTTGACGATATCTGTACAATCTATGTGTTCAAAAGAGAACCCTATGCTGCAAGCTATAACGTTTTCTTTTAGTAAAGATTCTGCAACAGTGGGAGATGAATTCAATGACTTAGTCGTAGATATAGGAATGTCCGAAAAGAAACTTTCAAATGCAGCTGCAACTTCTGCGTCTGATTTTATTACATTATTATCAATTAGAAGACTATATTCATTACTTTTCTTTTTGGACCTTCCCGTCTCACTGTTAATAATACTCCAGGTCGCTCTGATGACATTGGTACTGTTCTTTATTTTGGAGCTCAAGTACCGCGACTTTGCAATAGCGCAGACCTTTTTAAACAATTTAGAATATTTCCTAACATATACATTAAATTCGATTGTGTTAATAAATGTCCTCTCACTATATAGCTCATAGAGACGTTTCCTACTTTTATGGATGCCAGTGGTTGCCCATTCGTTGAAAGACACATTGCCTTTAACTGGTATAGTTTTAGGTGTAAAGGTAGACTTAAACTCGGTATGGTACATATTAAAAAAATCATCATACAAATTATTAGGATTTTTATTCATCAACAAAGGTAATTTTTGAGTGACTTTAGATTTGAAGGTTTCAATGCGTCTTTCAGTCTTTGGGTTGACAGTGATAAATGGTTTAGACATTGTATTTACATGATTTGTTATTGAAATTAACTGTCCGCAATGATCTGAATCAAGCAATGATATAATTTGTTTCTTAATTGGTACAATGTCAGTATAAATATTATCCAGGCAAGTGGCACTAGTGGGAGTTATCCTAGTGGGCTCCAGAAATAAGTTCGCAAGGTTAAATGAGGCAAATAAACTTACAATTTTAGTGCTTAGACTAGAATTCTCTAACAAATTTACATTAAAATCGCCACAGGTAATGATGAATTTATTTGAGCTACTGAGTTTATTTAATACTTCATCTATTACTGTTTCAAAATAGTCATACAAACCAGAAGGTGGTCTATACACACTTAAAACAATAAACCGCTCTAATTCCACACAAGCTATTTCAACAGTGCGTTCAACAGAGTAACTAACTATATCCTTGCGTTCTTTAAATTTAAGTTTGTTATTTATTAATATTAGTGAACCACCATGTATAGCGTTCTCCCTGCTGAACGAGCTACCAATCTGGTGATTACCAAAATTGAACATTAGTTGATGAGATTTCAACCAATGCTCAGTAATACACAAAATGTCAACATTATTACAATTCAAAAATAACTCTATTTCTAGTTCCTTGCTCATAAAACCTTGAATATTTTGGTGAACCAGACTGATAACACTAAATGTGCCCGGTATATGGCAATAGGCTCACCCGCTATTACATGGGACTCATAACATAAATAGTGAAAAGTGAGTGTTACATTGTACAGTGGCATTAAGTGTCGAGATGTGCACCTCTGCTTACCCCTTCGGGGATATAAAGGCATGATGTTATGTTATTGTAACAAAGAGTTTATTTTTTCTTGTATAGAAGCACTATTTTGGATTTGCAGTATGTATTTTTTTAACAAACCCGCCACAACCTCCCAAAACCGCTGCAACTCCTGTGCACCAGGATCTACAGTAGATACAACCATGAAAACACCGGAACACTGAAGTCCAACGTCCCAGGGACATGAATAACTGTCTTGGTTCCCGCAACGAAGTGAATCAGATGGCAGTATGTATAATTAATAATAATAATAATAATAAACATTTTATTGTACATACCACTTACAAAAGACACGAACAAGAAAATAGTACGTAGGTAAAAAAGAAATAGTTTTGGCATGTTGTACAATGGGCGGCCTTATCGCTTACAGCAATCTCTTCCAGGCAACCTTAGGATGGATAAATAACCGTGAGAGCAGATACCATGTGGGTAGTTCATAGTGTTGAATTAAATACAATGGATATGACAGAACAGATACATACATACAATATGTACACACATACATACATACATGCCTACATACTCATATATTTGTTGTCTTTAGGGTTATTTTCGTTTTCGATCTCTTTGATTGGATTTTGGTGTTACAACAATGTAGCACACACGACTTCACCCGAGGTCACTATTGATAAAAGTGGCCAATGTGTTATTCCAAACCTCTGCTCCAAACGTCTCGATCCTTTTAGCCATATTGACGTAATTAACTCGTCGAGTACCGGTTTTGTAGACACAATTATAGAACAATAGGTTGCGGTCACCGGTGACCGCTTGGTGTTTGACAGTTTAAGTGACAAATAAACATGAATGTGGAATAACAAACAATGAATGTCGTAAGCGGTAATTACTATAAGTCCAGTAGATATTTATTTATAAGTTATCTTATACTTCTTATACTATTATATAAAGCGGAAGAGTTTGTTTTTTTGTTTGAACGCGCTAATCTCTGTAACTACAAGTCTGATTTGAATAATTCTTTTTGTGTTGGATAGAGCATTTACCGAGGATGGCTATAGGCTATAAAAAATTACGCTACGATCAATAGGAGCTGAGCAGAGCGTGTGAAACCGCGCGGAAGTAGCTAGTATATTATAAATTATAAGGCAACAGCTAACACAAATTTTTGAGCAACTAGAGCAACGAACTAAATATGTAAATAAATAAAAAAAGTATATCACAGCACATAATGTAAAAAAAAAAGAAAAAAGAAACTTACTGATTTTTATAAACCAAATAAAATTTCATTTTGTTAACCCCAATAGGTAATAAAACACAAATGGAACAGAAAAATAGCAAAGTTCGAAAAACAAAATCGAATAAAAAATATGTCGATCGTTTCGGACGCACGAATACACACACAGGCAATTCGAAAAACAAAAACCAAATAGAGATAAGCAAGTCGTTTTTATTCAAAGATAAATTAAAAAGGACAATGCTGTGTCTATTTCTGATTGACATTCGTCGATAATTTCGTAGCCATTGTCAATAGATGCATAATTAGATCTGGCAAGAGACGTATCGGAAGCGCGGTAGAGATGGACCAAGTGTGGATCAAAAATAAAAAAATAAAATTATAAGTTTTATGTTATAGTGTGACTGCCTCGTAGGCCGAGTGCTCGCAAGTGTGACTGCCGGGTAAGGGTTCTCAGGTTCGATTCCCGGATCGGGCAATGTATTACTGGGGTTTTAAAAAATTCTCAGTAGTAGCACGGAGTCTGGAATTGCAATGTTTAGGGAATGGCAATAGCCATATACCGGGCACAATTGGCACGGGGCTCACCCCCTATTACATGGGACTCGTAACATAAATAATGAAAAGTGGGTGTTACATTGTACAATGGCATTATGTGCACCTCTGCCTACTATGGTGGTTCATCAGAGTGGTTTTTAGTCAGTAAGAGTCTGACACTCCCTCCCGCCTCACCCGGGCGGGAGATGTCATTGGATGATTTTCCCCCCTCAAAAAAAGGCCATGTAGAATAATGTTAGATGGCTGACAATGTGCACATTATTTTGATAACTTGGCGACTTTTTGAATTTTTAGTTTTTCTGATAGACTTCGTTTATAAATAGTTATCAGTTAGGTATTTAGGTCTCGCTACAAATAAATACAACTCCGTAACGTTTTAATACAAGAGGTGGTAAGCAGAGGTATATTATGTAATGTTTTTTTTTAGGAGGGAAAATCATTGATTGACTTCTTCCGCCCGGGTGAGGCGGGAGGGAGTGTCAGACTGTTACTGACTAAAAACCACCCCGTTCCTACTCCTGCACTTCGAGTCGGAGCCCCGGTAACCCGTTAAGTTCTTCGCAGCTCCGTATCGGCATTAGCCCTATTGGGCCCATCCGTGGTGGTCTGATGGCTCTTTGAGAGGCGCGCGGAAACGCTCGGGTCTGGTTTTGGTCGAGCGGCGAGCTACCCATGCCCATGCTCGCCGTCCGCAGGCCCGTTGCTTACGGTGTTACATGATGTTTAGGGAACAGCGAATAAAGTTCCTTAAGATTGGAAAAGGAGGATCCTCCGACCAGGCGAGGTGATCGTCTCTGACGGGCTTTCTGCCCAACAGTTGTTCGTTGGGATTATCTATTGTTAATCCGAATTGGGTGCTAGCCACCTAGTCAAATTCAACACTTTTTTCGGACTGTTTTCTATGAATTTTGTACGAGATTGTGTATTGTGACGTCACGTCTCTTTACGTCAAACAGCATACTTATTTATTAAATATTTGCTGGAAAGATACTAAAATTAAGTTGGTCATAAAAGCAATTAATGAAAGTGTGATTATTTTTTAATAATCTATTGTATTGAACAGTCGAAATAATCCATTTTTGATTAAGGAAAACACCCAATAGTGTAGTGGCCTAAATTTTATTTTAATGTATGTCTGATAGATTAATTTAAAACATTACACACGTATTTTTTCTTTTCTCACAAAATTAAATACTTTCGACGATACATTAATCTGAAATATCGTGTGACGTCACAATGTGCTACATTTTGTAGCACTTAGTGACGTAACGACCTCCCACTCCTAAACTTAACTGCATTTTATCTAAGTTTTGTAACTTTATACGACGAAATAAAAAAATACGTGTCTAATATTGTTTCATTATCTACTGACGGACTAATTAGATTTTTCATTTTTATTCCCTGGCAACTACTCTATTGGCGACTGTATAAGCCCAATACCTATTGTTACCTTTGTTATATCTTAATACCATGTATACGGAAGCTGTTGGTATACCTATTTAAATAATTAATAAATAAATACTTAACGTAATTTTGGTTTTTATCAAAATCAGTATAAATAAGGGGTCAATTTAAGTACTCCTTAGCACTAAAGACCTTCTAGTTAAGAGATGTTTTTGTAGGTGACCACAAACCTTAGAGACCATTTAGTCACTCTGACTCAATCTAACTCATTCTCACTCAGTTTCACTCACTTCTATAGCCTTGTAAACACTCACCGCAGGACTCCAACTGTGAGGCTATGCCCTGACTCCTCGACTCTTCGGCTGGCGGTCAGCAGAGACATGTCGATGGCTTCTTCTCCGTTCAAGGTCAGGATCGTGTCGCCGTTCAGCAGGCCAGCTCGCTTCGCCGGGGAGTCAGGTTCTATCTGTAAAGGGGTAGACAGGGGTATTATTGTAGAGGTTTTTCTAGTAGACTGTCTAATTGGCTGGCATTGGCCGCAAGTACGCCTGCCATTGGGCAAGGGGTGTCGGGTTCGATTCCCGGATCGGACAAAGTATGACTGGGCTTTTTTTAAATTCTCAGTAGTAGCACGGAGTCTGGAATTGTGCCCGGTATATGGCAATTGGTTCACTCCCTATTACATGGAACTCCTAATATAAAAG